GACTTTGAACCCTAATAAAAAAATCATGAAACTTCTTTGCCGATAAGGAAGCTTAATGGAATCTCTTCTTTCATTTTATCAAAAATAAACCCTAACAACTCTATCGCCCCCTCATTCGCTTCTATTGCTAATTTGCTAGTGCGGGGGTCAGATTAAATCTTACCACCACCATCCACCATATTCACAACTATTTTTCCATTTAAAAGTATTGGATAATTGTCTAAAACTTGTAAGTGCTTGAACGGTAATTTGCTTTCTGTGGTCATTGAAGCTACAATTTTTTTTCTTCAAGAAACTCCAAGTTGGCAGTTTGTATATTTTTTAAGGCTTTAATTGCTAATAAGTCCTTGTTTATACTTCAGTAAATGTGCTTGCAAGTCCAATAATTGTATCTTTCTCTAAAATATTGCTTTTCTTTTTTTTTTTTCTCAAGTCACCAGGGCTATTCATTTTACCAGACCACGAAAATGTCAAGGTATATACCACTCATTCGTTTTCCGTTTCTCTGTATTCGTTCCGGCGCACCTTGGTGTGCCTATAAAAATGGAGGATGCACATAGTTTTAGGGATGAAAGTTTGTTCTTGATTGCTTGGCCTGCGCAATATCCTGAATTTATGTTTTGAACCAATTCGTACATATGAAAATACGGGAACACGTTATTCCATTTTTTTAATTTTAGTGTTAATTTTCTAGATTTTATGTTTTTTTTTCAATTTTATTTTATCTTTAATATTAGTTAAAATCCACATAAGCATCCATGTCATTTGATGAATAAATAAGAACCATTGGATGTCATGTAATCAAAAGGTTGAAAAAGAGTGTAAAAGTATTTGTAAAAATATGTGTCCCTTGATCCTATCCCTTTATTTAATTAATCTGGTCTTTCCTTTCAAACAAGGCTTCTGTATTTTATTTTAGCTTATTAACCAACAATAAATAGAAAAGCCCCAACCAATTAATAAAAAATAAAATTATTTAAAATAAACTATTTATATTTAATTCAACCTTCACCAATTTTATCCTTCAATATCATTCTATTGTTGTACAACCTTGTAGGTTCAAACTAAAGTTGGCAGTGGATAATTTAATTAATCAAATTAATGTAATTTTACATGATTAGAAACCACTCTAATTCACAATTGGCCATTTATCACAGTGGTGGAAATGTGTTGGCACGACGATGTGGGTTCGAACCCAGTTCGTGGCTAATCTAACATCTAAATTTAACAAAATCTATCATTTGACAACAACAACAACAAAAAAGCCATTCTAACTCAACTTAGTAGGATTATCCATAAACCGAACAATAACATCTAGAAATGGCTTTCGGCTGCCCAAATTAATCAGAATATGTTTGAATTCATACAACAATATTTGGAACCTTAGTTATGATTACAATGCAATTCAATTCCTTTATCTTCTTTTTCCGATCATATACTTTAGAGCATGGATGATTTGTTAAACTTTATGCATGAATATGATCACCATAATGAATCTCATGTATGTTGTTTTGGCCAAAGACTTTCGTCGATAGATCATAAAGGGGCTCCTAAAATATCAACCTTCATAATTACCTTGAAGGTGACAAAAGAATCATTGAAATGAGGAGACACGTAGATTGCTTGAAGTGCGGGAACTGCCTTTATTTACTAATCTAATTTAGGCCCGCAATGGTAAAGGTACGACCAATCTTTCTGCATTTGCTCTATTCCTTTTTGTGCATTCATGTATCTCTATATTGATGCATATGATCCTGAACCTTACACAACAGGGCTTCGCTATTGTTTGAGAGCTCCGAGGCTAGATCAAAGATCACATTCATCAACACCAAATAAAAGTGATGCCTCAGGTCTAAAACTAGTTGCATTCATAACTTAGAAGTGTGGTACGATTGGCAACTAAGTAATCTTCTATTCGTACATTTCTATAGTTGATGAATGTTCTGTGAAATCGATCTTCAAGATGAGCACCTTTATGTCTATTCTATGTAACTGCATACTAGTTTGAGACATACTACTGAATACGATATAATCCAATGTTTGTGGATGTTCAATAGTCATTTCCATAATTTAAGACTATACGTATCTCAAGATTAAGACATCTTGGCAATCTCGTCCCTACTACTTAAGTTATTCCTTGGACTCATCCTTATCAATAATGGATCTTTCCTAATCCGATATTCCGTTACACGCTCCATTGACGGATGTTCTCACTTGCCCTTTGTTGTCAATGACTCAATAATGGGTTTCCACAAATAACCAATTACGTGTTATCACGTCAATTCCTTTTCAGGCATAGTTGAACATAATGAACCTTCCTAATCCATTATTAGATCAAGCACTCGTTTGACAGTTATTCTGACTTGTCCTTTGTTGTTGATGACTCAAAATTGGGTTGCCAGGAATAACCAATTATGGATTGCCACGTCAATTGCTTTTTTGGTATGCTCCCATGCTACATGAGTCAACCAAGAGGATTTGAGACCAAGACTCATCATGAACACATGTGCAATCTAAGGAAATCACTCTACAGTCTGAAACAAGCACCATGAGCATGGTACGGTAAGATTCTAGAATTTCTCTCTAAAAGTGATTATTCTGTGGCACTTGCAGATTCCAATTTATTTGTCAAAGCTAATGGAGGAAAACTAGTTGTCATATTGGTGTGGATGACCTAATCATCACTGGTGATGATGATAGAAATTCATCGAACAAAGGAGAATTTGTTAGTTGGCTTCTAAATGAAATAACTTGATCAGTTTAAACACACTTGGGCTAGAGGTCGATCACACATAAGAAGGGATATTTCCGTGTCAACTGGAATATGTAAATATTTGTCATGGAAATTTAGGACGCTTGAATGCAAGCCAATATTAACACATAAGGAATCCAATGCCAAGATGTGCGCACATGAAGACAAGCTTAGAAGATGCAACAATGTATCTACAATTGGTAGGTAGTTTGACCTACTTGGCTCTTACTTGACCTGAAAATTCTTACGTAGTTGGTGTGATGAGTCGATACATGCAAAATTCAAAGAAGCCTCATCTAGAAGTAATTCGACGAATATTGAGATATGTAAAGAGTACAACTGAATGTGATCTCTTGTATAACAGTACAAGAGGTGAAGGTTGTAAGATGGTTGACTATTATGACACAGATTTTGCAGGAGATCATGGCACCAGACGATCAACCACTGGTATGTCTTTAGAATTTGTTCTAGAGTAGTTTCGTGGTGCAGTAAGAGACTACCAACGAAATCTTTGTCAACTACAAAAGCAGAGTATAGGGCAACAGCAATGGAAGCTCAAGAGGTTCTATGGCTGGCACAATTAATGAATTATCTACAACAACTAGGAGATTATTCAATGTCATATATACTACGACAATCAATTGGCTGTTCGTTTCATGGGTTATCCAATTTTTCATGCGAGAACTAAGCATGTGGAGATACACTACCATTTTATCAAATGGAAAGTTCTACAAGAAGAAATTGAGATGCCCAAAATAAGCCAAATGATCAAGTTGTGGACTTGTTCCCAAAAGGTTTGAATACTGGCAAGTTCAAAATGTTTCATCGACAACTGAACATCGTGAAAAGAATGAGTTGGCGTTGAAGGAGAGTGTTAAAGACCAACACCAGCCAATTAAGCCCAGCCCCTCATAAAAATCTTTTTGTGTTCTCTAGATAAATGTTAGAAGATTCTTTCATATATGCAGATTAAACATGAAAAAATTCTAGACAATTTTAGCAAAAGAAGTTAGTGGAACTAGCTAGATATTTCTAGCATGGTGTTTCCATGCTTCTCCAAAGTTTCATCCATGCCGATAAAAGGAGAAGACATCCACCCTATTTGAAACAACCAAGAAGTGAGTTCTATTCTAAGTGTGAGAGTGAGGTATAAGGTTTTTGTGAGTGTGAGTGTTCCAAAGTTTGTCTTTAAAAAGTCAGAGAGTGTCATAACTTCTAAATTGTGTCTTTGAGAGTTTGTGTGTTGTAAAATTTGTAAGTGTAATACAAGTAATTTATTTACTTGTTTTGTCTCTCCAATACTTTGTATACTCTAATTTTCTCAACATAGTCTCCCTCTAGAGGCAATTATTTTACTCTCTCCCCTCCCCATTTTTTTCTCCGCCCAATCTCATCTCCCTTATTTTCTCCGTCAAATCTCACCACCTATGCCCAACATTTGCTAAAGTAACCTTCATTTTCCTGTCAATTATTCATCTCGAGGGCGAAAATCAATACTGAATAGGTGGTCGGCCAAGAAGTCTTCAGATCTTTGCTGCCATATTGAAGGCGCAACCGGCAGATAGGCGAGCATCGTAGATAGGAAGGGTAGAGAGGAAAGAGAACGCAAAAGCAAAAATCAGTTTTAATAGTATTTTAAGTTTAACCTTTGCTATTTTCTCCCTCCATTTGGGGTACGTTTATCTAGCAATTGTTCATTTGGCTAATTTAGCGTTGAACATAGCTAGGCTGTTGGAAGTAAAGTTTTCTCAACAATAATTTAGCGCTGAACATAGCTATTTAGCGTCAAACATAGTATTGTCAGTTTAACTTCTGCTACTTTTCGCATCATAAAATGCAAATAAAAAAATAAAAACAATTTCGGAAATCAAACATGTGACAAAATATTTCGTTGTGCAAATGTTTAATGCACGAACATATTTCGTACTGTAAAGTTTTTTTAGACGAAACGTTTTCGTCACCTGTAGATCTTTGCGATGCAAACATTTCGTTGCCTCAATGTTTGCGCAACGATAAAGTTTTCTCCCGAAACTTTCGCATTTCTTACCTGTATTTTGTCGTGTAGACTTCCTTGCATGACGAACTGTAAATATTTTTCCCACAAACCTTTGCGTCTCAAACTTGGCCCTATTAATTTAGCGCAACGAAGTTTTCATCGCCCAAAAAATGCAATGTGTACAGGCATGCATGCATGTGTGGGTGAGATAAAGTTTTCGTTTAGCTGCATAATTCTCTCATATGGTTTTCTGTCTCTCTGGGGACATCGGATAAAATTTAAACGCTACAGAGAAGATTAGTGTGGCTCTTGTGCAAGGATGACACTCATAAATGGAGAAAATAAGTATTATTCTTGTTAGCTTCTGGTACAGATTGTTTTATTGATACATTTATAACAACAACGATATGAACATTAAAGTAGAAGAGTAATTTAGCTAGCTAGCTGGTAGGGATTTTACCACCTGCAAAAGTAGGGATAAAAACACTTTAAATACTTGCAAGAGTACAAGGTAATTGTAATATAGATGGCTCTAGTAAGGTCGTTCTCCACAAGGATTGAATGAATAATCTATGTTAAATCAAATCTTAATTAATTATTTAAAACAAAATTTGAGAAAAAGTTGATTTTATGATTTAAAATATTAAAAATGAATTTAATTAAAAACAATTAAATAAATTGGGAAAGTAAAGAAAACAAAAGAAAATAGTTTTGAAAATAAATTTGAGCACTAGGGTTCCGCCGTCACCTTGACAATCATACGTAGTTCTTTCAATTACTTATGAATTACACATGCATATTTTGAAGGTTAGGTTTTTCTAAAGTAGGCCCTACTTGGAAACTCCAACATAAAACGTATATCTAACATGCAACCCGTTCGTGGCGTAATATGAACATGCAAGACTCATTAAATTTTGTGAAAACTTTCTGAAAAACCATATAACCCTTAAGATGTGTCATCCATCCTAAGAAGTTACACATATTAACCACAAAAACCCTTAGTCAATTTCAAGGACAACCCTCCACCAAAATTGCATCAAATTACTTTTCCAAATACCTTAATGGGGGCCAATCATCAAGACAAGTAGATAGTTTAAAGCACAGTGATTAATAATTCAAAACTTGCATGCATAATATCATAAGCAAATTGAAAAAAAACTACGTATTCTTGCTAAGGCTCGTGACCTCGCCCTAGCAAACGAAACTAGCTACGAACAATCATAAAATAAAATATTATTAAAAACATGGATAGAAACACCTTGATAATAAACTTGAATCCTCCAAAGTAGTGTGTGCGTTCTCCTCCTTTTCTCCCCTCTCTTTCTTAACCCTAATGGCTAAATATCTTATTTATACTACTACAAAATAAAACCCTAAAAGGTCTTAGAATAAAACTAGGAAACATAATAAAATAATAAAACAGAAAATAAAAGGTTTCCTATTTAAACTAAAATCCGAACTTCTCAGAAAATCACACTTTTGACGAACCATATCAACTCCAATTTGGTCCCAAAAGGTTCTGAAGACGTCCCCTACAAATCCTCAGAAGGAATCTTCCTCAAAATATGCCATCTTGACCTCCAAAATACTTAAAACGTCCATAAACGTCAATCTGGGAAAGCTGTGTGCTGGGCCTTAATTTCATCACCACGGTCAAACGGCTTGGTAGAAAATTATGAAATTTGGACACAATCATCTTGAAAGGCACACGAACATTCTCCAATTAGAATCACTCCAAAATTCATCTGTTTGATCACTTTTTGCTCCAGAGGAAGTCGAATGCCTATATTAAGAATATAAATTCAAGTATCAAAATTCTACCAAAATAACAAATAAATTAATACTAAGAATAAGGTAAAATATATAGTAAAATATCAACTCATCAAATACCCCCAAACTTAGATTTTTGCTTGTCCTCAAGCAAAACAAAACTAGAAAACAAAAATAAAAACTAACAAACTAGAAACTTTATTAAAACTCAACAAAGATAAAATTTTCATCTTCAAGTTGCAATCCATAGAACACGTTAAAAATCAGAACATCTTTCCAATAGTTCCAACTAATCCCACCACAGAGTCTAATCTATTTAAATCAATTAGAAAAGAATTCATGAACTTCCTTTGGTGTAAAGTGAACCAACATAGTTAAGGAAACTCGACCAAAACCCTTACATTTTGTCATTTTTATTCCACACATACTAACTTTATATATATATATATATATTCACTTTTTTTTTAATTTTTATTTTATTTTATTTTATTTTAGTAACAGTAGTGGTCATGCAATGTCAGTTCCCTTAAGCTTTCTATCCAACCCATGTAGCGAGTTTTAGGTCAATGACTCCCAAACCACAAAGGCTTTAAGGCACTAGGTGTAGAACGCCCCTAAGGACTTATTAAATCGAGCTGAAAAGGCTACGAAACCAACTAACCACCATGCCCCATGCTAAGACTCTACTGTTTAACGTGAGAATCACTGTTGATCAAGCAGGACTGGCCCGGTTACTAAGCAAAGTCTTGGGTGGAACAATTATTACTTTATTACACATACTAAACTTTACTTTACTAAGAACAAAAATTAAAAGTAAGTGTTTCAATCTCACTCCCCACAAACCATGTTGATGTGAATGTACTAATTTTCAATGTATAACTCATGAATTAGTGTCTAAGCAACGATAAATAGAAAAGACTCCAATGTGAGATTAACCTTCACTATGTCCATTTGTTCTAATATTTAAAATAAACTATGAATATTAACTTAAAAGAATGAAATTATTTTATTGACTCAAAAATCAAAGACGTAAAAATTCTTATATCCGACCCCCAAACTTAAATCACACATTGTTCTCAAGGTGTGGAAAAATAAAGAAAAGAGAAATAAAAATAATAAGTCCTACAATAAAAATGTAAAACAACTAAAAATAAATAATAAAAAAAACTGGGAAAAGAAAGATAGAAAACAATAAAAGAAATAAAATAACAAATAAAACAGAAAATAAGAGAAAAGAAAAGGAAACTGACACACCTGGGATTCGAACCTGAGACCTGCGCGCTGACTGCGCAACACACACAAGCCACTCGTGTGAAAACCCTTTCTGGCCATATAAGAGTTTAGCTGCTTCATTTCCCATCTCTGATTTCATAAACCTCAGCCACTTCTCTCTCTCGCCTCGAGCCCAGAGCCTGAGAGTTCTCTTCCTCTCTCTTCATTTCTCTCAAACCCTAACACAAAACCGCTGCTCCCTAGCAGTGCCTCCAAAACCATAGCTCATATTCGAAGTACAACCTGCAACCCCCAAACTTGAATGAAATAAAACTGTTAATAAAATGTGAGGGAGTGATTGAGTGAAAAGAGTCCCAAGCAGTATAGAGGCCTTCGCAGCGACCCCATTGTAAGCACTTCAGAACTTCCACATTGTTTCTGTTTCTGCACTTTGATAAATGTTGATGAATGGATGATGAGTGCTAGCACGCTCAGTGGATTGTATGGTCGACTCAAATCTGAATGCAACCTGCAATCACAAATCCCTCCCCAATTAGATAAGTAAAGAAAAATAATAAGAATTAAAATTGCATTTTTTTTCTTTTTTCTGATTTTTAATTTTTTGTGATTAGGAATAAAAACAGGAAAATAAAATAAACGAAATAAAAAGAAAAGAGTTAGAAAAATTGGGTTACTTTTCAATTAGCATTTTAGTTAACGTCTATAGCTAGACGTATTTGAATGAGTTTGGTGATCACGTCACTTGTTTTCTTAAAGTCAACCACTTCGTGATAGCATCATACGGCAACAGTAGGTATGGAATGAGTTGTTTATCAGTGGTTGAATTCTTCGTAATTACCCTTCTATCTGAATGGCTTTTTGTAATCAAATACGGCCCTTCCCATAGAGGCTTGCGTATTTGTTGAACTGACTTAAACACCTTGTATTTAATACCCACAACCTTTGAATTGGCTGAAATTTTTGACGAAAGATTGGGCTGCCATTAAGCACTTTATTCTTTCCCTTATAGATCTCAGCCTTCTTGTACGACTCCTCGTGAAGTTCCTCAGGTTTGGTGGGCTGTGCAGGTGTGCTGTCCTCCAAAGCATCAGCTTTCGTGCATGCTTGCAGACTTTGTGGGAAAAATTCTTGTGGCACATAAACTTGGGTAGCAATTTTCTGGTGGGATTATAGGATCAGCATGTGCTGCTTCCTCCCCTGGACGTGAATGGCTAGACGATTGCTCCCCAGTTCTTGTGACAATCTCCTCTTGTTCATCATAGGCTTGAATTTGAAATCCTTGATTGGTTTTTTCAATGTACAATTCAGATGATTCCAACAATATAGAGATTTTGTCTTCCACCAGAAGCTCTTGGGGCACATCAGGTTGCTGAAAATATTTTTGATTTAAAATATTAAAGATGTTTTTTCAAACATGGAGCGTAAAACTCCGAATAGGGATTGTTCCAATGCCTATTTAGATTGTCTTTCATATTGATATGCTTTTCGACAAACTCAGGGAAACATTCTCTTTCGGGGCACTGATAAAGGGCACAAACTGTAGGTTTAAATTCATAAAAACTCTTTTCTGCTAAAGAAACCCATAAAGGCAATCCTCCTGCTGGTAGCTCCATTATTGAATTGTTCTCAAAATTAATCAATAATAACCTACAAAAATAAAAATAAAATCAACAACTAAATAAAAAGATATTTACAAAAATAATTAACTAAGAATATGATAAACACAAATTATTTGAAACAATCCCTAGCGACGGCGCCAATTTCTTAGTAGGGATTTTACCACCTGCAAAAGTAGGGATAAAAACACTTTAAATACTTGCAAGAGTACAAGGTTATCGTAGTATAGATGGCTCTAGCAAGGTCGTTCTCCACTGGGATTAAATGAATAATCTATGTTAAATCAAATTTTAATTAATTATTTAAAAACGAAGTTTAGAAGAGGTTGATTTTATGATTTAAAATATTAAAACGAATTTAATTAAAAACAATTAAATAAATTGGGAAAGTAAAGAAAACAAAAGAAAATAGTTTTGAAAATAAATTTGAGCACTAGGGTTCCGCCGACACCTTGACAATCATACGTAGTTCTTTCAATTACTTATGAATTACACATGCATATTTTGAAGATTAGGTTTTCCTAAAGTATGCCTTACTTGGAACCTCCAATATAGAACGTATATCTAACATGCAACCCGTCCGTGGCATCCAGATCAAATGTGAACATGCATGACTAGTTAAATTTTGTGAAAACCTTCTAAAAAACCATATGACCCTTAAGATGTGTCGTCCATTCTAAGAAGTTACACATATTAACCAAAAAAAGCCTTAGTCAATTTCAGGGATAGTCCTCCGCCAAAATTGCATCAAATTACTTTTCTAAATACCTTAATGATGGCCAATCATCAAGACAAGTAGATAGTTTAAAGCACAGTGGTTAATAATTCAAAACTTGCATACATAATATCATAAGCAAATTGAAAAGAAGCTACATATTCTTACTAAGGCTCGTGGCCTCGCCCTAGCAAATGAAACTAGCTACGAATAGTCATAAAATAAAATATTATTAAAAACATGGATAGAAAATACATTGACAATAAACTTGAATAATCCAAAGTAGTGTGTGCGTTCTCCTCCTTTTCTCCCCTCTCTTTCTTAACCCTAATGGCTAAATAACTTATTTATACTACTACAAAATAAAACCCTAAAGTGTCTTAGAATAAAACTAGGAAACATAATAAAATAATAAAACAGAAAATAAAAGGTTTCCTATTTGAACTAAAATTCGGACTTCTCAGAAAATCACACTTTTGACCTACCAAATTAACTCCGATTTGGTTCCAAAAGGTCTCTTTTGAAATGAAGACATCCCCTACAAATCCTCAGAAGGAATCTTCCTCAAAATATGCTATGTTGACCTCCCAAATACTCAAAACGTCCAGAAATGTCAATTTGAGAAAGCTGCGCGCTGGACCTTAATTTTATCACCACGGTCAAACGGCTTGGTAGAAAAATTTGGAATTTTGACACAATCATCTTAAAAGGTACACGAACACCCTCCAATTAGAATTACTCCAAAATTCATCCGTTTGATCACTTTTTGCTCCAAAAGAAATCAAATGTCCTACATTAAGAATATAAATGAAGGTATCCAAATTCTACCAAAATAACAAATAAATTAATACTAAGAATAGAGTAAAATATATAATAAAATATTGACTCATCACTAGCTACTTCCTGATCGTGATAAATAGTTCCAATAGCACTGCTTTCACTAATTACTCATATCCCAAATCCAAAAAGAAGTTGTATCGTGGTCGTTATGTAACATCTCTTCAGAAGAAAGATTCGAATCCATGTTTCCCCTTCCGATCTCAAATGCTCCATCCATAGCTAGATCATCATCATCATAAATACCACTTCCCCAATAGCTTGCTGATCCATAGCCTCCCACTTTAGTACCAGACACCTCCCCACCAACTTGCTCATTGATTACAAGTGCACCATTGTTGTGATCAATCTGATTGACCTTGTCTAGCTCCATATAGATCCAATCCACTACACTGACAACACCACTATCATTTGAGGGACAATCATCTAATAAAGCACATGATGTTCCCTTAGCCAAAAAATCAGAAACATTATTTTGCTCATAAACACACAGTGTTTAATCTTGATCTTGATCATTGTCTGCCCCTGATTTCTTATCCACAAACCCTAATCCCAAATCAGTACTCATCAACTTCCTTTTTCATTGCTAGCAGTAGCAGGCCACTTCATATTCTTAACCTTTTTATTTGAGTGATCAGAGATTGTGAGGCATTTCTCAGTAATTTGTATAAATGATTCTTCTTGGTTAACCACTTTGGACAAAATAGCAGTCATCTTATCTTGCAAACACTTGCTTTGCCTCACAAGCTTTCTCACTTTATCTGAATTAGGGGCCATGTGTTTGATCAAAGCAGCCAAGGCACTCACTTTCCATGCCTTTTTAAGATCGTGGGGCTTCCGATAAGGAGGAGCGCCATGCTCTACAGAAATCCCTTGGTCCCCCCACCACATCTCCTCCCCCGTGGGCCACCAAGGAGGAGCCCAGCGGGAACCTCCGCTGTGGCGGCATGCAGTGCTGCATCAGAGCAGAAAGAAGAGACCCCAAAGTAGTGTCTTGCAGTTCATGAAGCAAATGAGCATAAGAGCCATGATCCAACTCACCTTGTTCAAAAATCAGAGCTGGCAGATGCTCGGATATTGCAATGGGGGCGTTTTGGTCAAATCTCACTTTGTCTTTCCACCACTTTCTTAAGCTAACAGAGGAGCCCGTCATTGGTTTTCCCTTCTCAGGCACAATCCCATACACAAAGCCCTTTGCTTTGCATACCTCCATGATTTTCACCATGTATTTCAGTATCGAATCTTGGGATCTTGCCATTTTCTTTCGACAAGACACTTCTTGCTTTGCCAACAACTTCTTCATCTTCACGGTCTTCTTCGTCCTCAATGATATTTCCACTCTTTGAGCTTTTATAAGCGAATACGATGCTTCCACATTCGCTTCTTGAGCTCTTCGTAGCTGATGTGATCTTCAGCTGCTTCCTCATCTTCTACAGCTATCCCAACCCTTACAGTATCAACTTCTCCATCGAACTCTACCATAGTTGAAATATTCGCGTCTCTATTGATATGAAGACTCTGTAACTAAGTTAAGTCCATATTTTAACAACCATGTCCAATGGCGGTGAGAAACGAACTTGCCAAATTTAGAAACAACAATGTGAAAGCTTGAGGACAAGATTGGCTTTAACGAGGTTGAGGGAAAATTTTGGAGGAGTCTGAAAATTTCAAGGAATTACGTGAGATTCTGAAGTAACAAGCTAATGGAGGGGTGGTGCCGTACGTGGTGGATCTGTGTGTAGGTACAGTCAATTTGTGTGTGTGTACATATATATATATATATATATATATATTTTTTTTTTTTTCAAATATAAGTTTGCATGCATGTGGGACGCATGGTGTATCCATGGTTACCAAATTTGATTGACGAGCTAAGATACTTATCCATTCCAAGATATATAAGTTGTCACTCCAACTTGAATGAATTAAATAATCTTCTACATTTTTCATTCGTGTTGTAGAGTTGTTTTTAGGCCAATTTCAGATTCTGTGGATGTGGAATAGTACGTAGGGCAAGTTTTGATGAAATAATTAAATTTAAGGCCTACGACGACATTGTGATTTGTGGCGACGAAAGCAAGCTGCATCATCCTGTTCAATCTTCAATTTCAAAGATTGAGACCATACATGAGTAAGAAATCGCTATGTACGCTAAGAAACGAAAATTATGGTGTTTGCCGTTTGGTTTGGAGACAGGAATATATATATACTGGTAGGAAAAACAAACATGGTGTTTGCTGCATCATCCTGTAACTTCTCCACATTTTACACACTAATCGAATTTCAAACATGATATTCACTGGTAGGAAAAACAGCTTATGAAATGATACTTTGTGCGATGACAAAAATTTTGTCGCTTGAAGTGTGTTTGTGCAACGAAATTAGGAATTCGTCACGCAAATGTTGAAAACTTTACGCGATGAAGGATTTTGTCACGCAAGGTATCTTTGCTCAATGAACCAAACCCTTCGTCGTGCAAAGTCCTTCAGGTAAACGCAGGTGAGAAGTTTTTTGGCACCAAATCATCGTGCAACAAAGAATTTCCCATGTAAAGATTTTCGTCACGCAAAGGGAATCTGAAATGGTCGGTGCGCATTGAAGTCATCATATTTACTGTGTACTTACGAAGGGTTCATCGCACAAGGTTTTAGGACCAAGGTGCGCAACCAAATGTTTGTTGTATGTATAAATAGCACAAGTGGCGAAGCCAGGAATTGACAGAGGGAGAGGTGAAAATTAAATGAGTAAAAGCAGTGGCAAAGTGAGGTGTTCTATGATTGGTTACTGCCATGTGCACTTCAGAGTTTGACATTCATATACCGAACAACATTCACAGTGAATACATTCATTTTCTTTGAGTATTTTTCTCCCAACAACCTGATAACAATTCAATGCACATATATTTTCACAAATATAGTAGAAGTTGCCAAACCTGGTGCAGAAGATCCTGAACATAGTAGTGAATTGCATAATCTTGTCTTCATTTTCTAAAATACTAGGCTGAAAGTGTTCCTTCATCGGTCACATTCGCTTGGTGGAGAAGTTAGCATCACATTTCACCACCACACCACCACACTTATCTTGTTTGCCCAACCGAGCTCGGTAATGAGTTAGAACGTCCACATAAATCAAACAATGTAGTTAGCTCAGTAGTTACTCGACGTGCGCACTACGTAGGCTTTATAATTTCTAGGATCATCATTTTGACACGCCAGTGGGATCAAGTGCTAAAAAATGACGAAGTCCATGACCATTGAAACCCGCTTTATCAAGAAGAAAACAACAACGAGGAAAACATCGACAAATCAGACATCTACAAACCTGGAAATGTGCCATATAGCATAGAACTAGCACATGATCTTCCCGCTTCCGTCACGCCAGATTTGCGGCATACCAAAAGGTGAAAATAAATCTTGGCGACCAAAAATTAACTGTGACGGCTATCACAATGACTACTAAGCGTACCAATTTTAGACCTCCAGAAAGACTGGTCAAGGAAGACAACGACGAGGACAATGAGGCCTCGAATGTACTTCCTAAAACCTTTATTCGGCCCAGGCTTGCCAAACACACCAGACTTCTTGAACTTACATTCGAGCGTGAGCTTGGTCTACTTAGTCTCAAACAAGATACAGCAAATCAATACCACGAGGGGTTAAAGCAGACTCATAAGGAAACAAATCGCTTATTGGTAGCATTATTCACTGAGATTCGACAGACCAGATTGGATGCCACTGGAAAGAAACATGCACCGTGTGAGGGTCTTGGCTTCGTTCATGCAAGAAAAATACCCTGGCGCTGGCAAGAAAAATATTCACTAAGAACATGCGCTGGCAATAAAACTACCCTTAATTAAGGAGTTTTTGTCATTTTAGTCCTTATTTAACAAAATTTTCACGGAATGATCAAAATAATTGATGATGGATAAATTCAAGGATCATTTCTATTAATTTTAAATCTTACGAACCAATGTTATTAGGTATGCCATTTGAATGACTATTTTAACTAAAAAGCCATCAATATATCATTTACTCGTGCATAATATTCTTTTCAGTGTTATCACATTCTAGAAATCATTGTCAATCTTGGGCCAATTATGGCACATCTATTATCTCTCTGTAAGAAAAATCGCATATGAAAGCAATAGAAAGCGAAGACAGATAGCAATAAAAGCTTTTAATAATACAGGCGCCAAGTATAGAGTGACGTCAAAAGGTTACCATGACAAGATTGTAAAGGAAAATTAAAAGCACTTGCAAAATGTACCAATTGTTATTTTCTATTTTCTTAAACATGGAAAGAATGCTTTGGCATCTACATTGTAGTGTTTACTAAACAAACAAGAACATTTTTGCTAAACTTTGCTTCTTTTTCTTTTTTCTTTTTGCCTTTATCTTTGTTCTAAGACTAAAGCGCCATGAGTGAGGGCCGCATGAACGGCCTCTTTATACTATTCACCTCAAAATAGACTCATCTGTAAATAGATGGATATTTTAGCCAACAAAAAGAAGAGTAATTTACACCAGCAACTTTAGCAAATAGATAAACGGTTCTTAATACGTTTATCGAATCCATCCATTTGATTTTATATAATTTAATCACTAAACGATCTTTGTTGATTTTTTTTTTATAGAGATAATCTTTACAAAGTGTTTATAATATGAATGATTTTAATCATAAGCATAAAGTTCCGTAAATTGATCACGATTAAAGAGGAACTCCTCCAAAACCATAAAAGAGTCAAGTTAATTCCAGTTTACATGGCATAGGTACACTGTTAATTCAAGTTAATACAATATTATGTGGAAAGAAACTTACATATGTTGTTATATTATTAACACGAAACATGATGATGACGATGTACTATGTACCATATAAATCTTTCTCCAAAATTGTCAAACAACCCTACCTTATCTTTAAGGGTTAAATAAAAATAACACCATTATCACCCTTGATCTGTTTTTGGCTTCTGGAATGAACACTGCCGATGCACATTTTCATGCAAATTATGTCCACTTTGCATCTTTGGGCATGCTAAAGTACCACTACAGCTATCATGCCCTTTTAACAAGACAATTCACTATAAACAGATTACTATTCAATATTCATAAAGAATAATAAATAGATTTACTACACATAAAAATAAATAAATAGATTAGTATTCAATATCATACCCTTTTGAAAGATTAATATTTAATTACTTTATAGATTTTGTATATGCTGGAATATTTCATAAATTCATCCATGAATATCCATGGCATGCCTAGTCTGAACACAAAAAAGTGATAAAGAAGAAAAAGAATATTCCACTGAGTGACCTTGCATGTTCTCCTGCGAGCTCTTCACATTCCTCCCTCCTCCAACTCCATAGATTTTTAAAGCAGTTCCAGCGTGGTGGAGGCCTCCTAGGGTTATCCACTCAGTGAACAATAATTGCCTTTAATAAACAGTAATCGTCTTTTACATCTTTATCTCTACACTGAATAGCCCTAGCAATTAACAATAAAATAATACAAAATAATTTTATTTGTAATTTTGGATAAAATTTTTAATCGTTTTCGTTACGTCACGTGTCATTATTTGAAAAAACAATAGCAATAAAATATTAGTATTTTTTTTATTTATAAAATAATACAAAATAATTTTATTTGTAATTTCGGATAAGATTTTTAATCGTTCTTGTTGCGCCACGTATCATTATCCGAAAAGACAATTATTGGTGATGGATTTCTTTTTAATCGTTCTCGTTGCGCCACGTGTCATTATCCAAAAAGTAGGTAATGTAAATTTGGGTATAGTACAAACAAATAAAAAATATATTGTTACCTGATCCGATAAATTTTCCCCACTGCGAAGATTACCACTAGCTGGTGCCAAGGCGTCTCTCCACGTACTTGCTGAGTAGTCTCCAATGACTGGACAAAGATTCTTTGGTTCTTTTCCCATCAATTTTCTCAAGATAATTGGTATGAATTAGACCCCACATTTCTCTCAACTGCATCTCGCATTACTCGAAATCAGATCATGAGTAACTTCAACCTAGCTAGTACACAACGTAACATCTTCAATAAGTGTCTAATTCGTACCTGCATCATTAGTCATTTTCTTGGAAAAATATTGGATTGAAACTTTGAGAGAAAGATAGGTATGTATAGAAAAGTAAATATATAAAAGTATGAAATTGGATTGAAACTTTGACAAAACATGAAATTGTGGTGTAAGGTAGAAAATATGAAATTGTTGGAAAAAAATTGGATTGAAACTTTGACAAGATATGAAATTGGGGTGTAAGTAGAAAATAATGAGAAGGTATTTACAGAAAAGTAAAATCAAAATTTTTTTTATTTTTCAAAATTTTTTTTCTGATTTTTAATAATTTTTTACATTTTTAAATTTTTTTTATTCACCTAATTAATCTATACCGTTGGATTTAAACAAATTTGAATTCCAACACTCCAGATTGTGCCACGTGGCACAACGGTAACATTTCTGATTTTTTAACTGTTTTTTTTAATTTTTAAAGTCGAATAACGTGGATTGCTGATCTCATATCCAACGGCTAATATTAAATAAGGTTTTTTAATTTTTATTATCGTTGGAAATCCAACGGGTGTGGGGAAGCCATGTGGCTCCCCAACGGTAACAAAAAAATTAGTGCATCATGGGTCCCTTTTTTGACTTTCTATCCCCTGACACGCACCCACGCACGCTTGAAAGCCACGTGCCTGATAGAAAAAAATTAAAACAAGCGTCTGACGTCAGCTAACGTCAGACTCACCTCAGGCGCTCGGCCCTACTTGGGCTCCCTTGCCTGCCAACCCTGGACTTCCTCCCTTAGGTAATCAGGCCCTATGCTGAAGCCTATCCATCAAGCAATTGCTCCCACTGGAGCTGCTCTTATACACACAAACTCCAATTTTGAGAAATATAAATAAATAAAAGGCTTATTCCATTTACGCCTTTTAAGTTTGAGCTAATTTTTAAAATGGTTAATGTGGTTTTAATTTTATCATATTATACTATGAGATTTTTAGGTCGTATGAATTTAGATATGGCTTACAAATTAGTCCATACAAGGGCCTTAAGCTCAACATATCATCCATTTAATGAATTATCAAGCAATTAATTAAACTGTAGATATCAATTGATATAATTCTAATACTTTGCCATTCAATACTAGTATTCATTATCACTTACAAATAAGAGGTCTTAGGCTCGAATCTCGTGAATGACTAATTTGATACCAAATTAGATTGCCCATTGTATAGCTTCACCGAACTCTCTCCTCACTCTAGTGTAAAATATATTGTGTACTAAAAAAAAACAAAATTCCAATACCTTAAAATGTCATATGATATTTGTTCAAAATTTAAAGATTGTAAAATGTGGTTAACTCATAAATAAAAGTATCCATAATTTCCTCACATATGTTTTATCTTTTTTGAATGCAGAAAGAAAAAGAATGTTATTTTCCCGATTTTAAGGAGCAATTATGTCATCTGAACCACCATTTCCATGGAAAGGGATCCATCTCTTTCCACTAAATCCACTTAGTTTGGGATCCGGACCGTTAAATTTTGATTCAACGTTACAATTATTATGACTTTTAAAATGCTCCCTATTTGTAGCCGTTTGATCAAATTTCAACAGTCCGGATCTCGGACTAAGTAGATTTGGTGGAAAGGGATCTAGAAAGGATCTCATACTGGACTCAACTTTATTCTTTTCTAACAAGCACCAATTATATATGTTTAAAGCAATATTTGTCCGCAATGCAATGCATATTCAACCTCCCCGCCTGATATGTACAATTTACATGAAACAAATTTATTTTATTTATGAAATTAATCTAATAATGCATTAGCATTTGAAAAACTTTCACTTTATAATCTCTTATTAGATTGAGAAAAACACGTGATAGTAAATATATATAATGTAAGTCATTCTCCTTACGTACTCACAATACAAAAACTCTTAGTTTTTATTCTTCAATTAATTCTAATTCTACACCCAAAAGGAAAAAAAAGTATCATTTTTCCTCACTATCCTAAACCTTGGTGTATGCTCACCATACACTTAATAATTTGTTACGTGTCATTTCATTTAACTTTGGTTAATTTTTTATTTTTTTTTTAAATTGCAAAAGTAATATTTAATGTGAAAGTTAACTAAAGTTAGATAAAAGAACACGTGATAGATGATTAGGTGCATGGAGATGAGAGATTTTTCAGTGTGACCAAAATACAGAGTGGTAGATCACGTGTTACCATACAAATGGTGGTATATGTGTGTTAAAAAGTTAATAATTTAAAAAATAAAAATTTTCACCACTTATATAAAAACACATGATGTATTACCTGTGTTTCAGTCACACTAAAAACTTTCTCTAAGAGAGCTTAGTTACAGTAATGAGAAAAATGCTAAAAAAAAAGAAAAAAAATAAAAACAGAAAAAGGTGGAAGGGTTTTTCCCATAGGTTACAAGAAATCAGACACACTCTACGAGGGCCTTTGCTCACTTGCTCACCTCTTCTACTCTATGGCCGACTACACTGTACTGCACCAGTCACCAGATTCCCCTCGCTCTCTCTCCTTTCTCTTCTCTCTCTGTTTTTCCTTTTCACATTTTCTTCACCTTTGTCCATTCGTTCAGAGGACCCTCCACCAGTAAAAGCCCTCTGAGACGCGCAGTTTCTATTTTTCCTTTATTTTTTTTCTTAATTTCTGTGTGTATATGTGTGGAGGAGTGAGCCTTTGGCATTCATTGCATTCAAGCAGTTGGGGTTTGAAGTTTTCCGTTAATGGCTTCTCTTTGATGACCCCCAACCACTCCAACACGTTGCCGCTGCTGCAGCTGCTCTCTTCCTTCCTTTCCTTTCCTTTCCTTGTAAGAAAACAACTACTCCTCTCCTTCTCTGACACCTCTCTGCGCTTTTTACTCTCAGCGATTTTCCCCCACTGGGTTTTTCATTTACTGCAAAACCCACATTTTCTTTTGGGTTTTGGGGTTTGAAGGGAGGGTTTTTCTCCGTTTATTCACAGATTTATTGAAAAGTTGAGCTCTTTGTGCTTCCGGTGTAATGGGTTCTCTTTCCTTTTAAAAGGTCTTGTTTGGTTGCTGAGAAAATGAGCGTTGTTTCGTTGCTGAGAAAATGAGCGTTCTTTCGTGAACTGGGTCCCCATATTTTCCGTCAAAAATGGGTGCTACCAACTCTAAAATCGAGAAGGACGAAGCTCTGCGGCTGTGCAGAGAGCGTAAGAGATTCATCAAGCAAGCAATCGATTCGAGGTATGCTTTAGCAGCTTCTCATGTATCTTACACCAACTCTCTTAGAAACATTGGCATTGCCCTCCGCCGTTACGCCGAGGCTGAGGTGTTGATAGAGTCGTCCCTCTCCACCTCAGACAAGACCCCTTCGCACTCCTCCTACCCCTCTCCCTCGCCTTCGCCTTTGGCCGACGCTTCGGACTCGCCTATGCGCAATGAGAGGCTGGTTTTGCCTCCTGCGGTGAGGTTGAGCTATATGAGGTCAGGGGGTGGTGCAGCTGTGACTGTAAGGTTCAATCCGGTTAGCAGTAGTTATGTGGATGAGGATATTTCATTGCCGCCGCCTCCTCCTCCTCTGCCGGATGAAGATTCGTCTTGGGATTATTTTGATCCTGTTGATGAGAGTGAGAGCTTTAGGTTTGTGGGAAATAGTGGAGTGGATGTGAATTTTGATGATATCAAAGGGTGGAGACAGGGGAGGAGTGAAGAAGCTAGTCATGGTGTGGAGGAGAGGGGTAGATGGGCAAAGGTTGGAATAGATGGAGGTAATGAACATTATGAAGTTTCTGGTAATTCAGTGAATCGAAACGATAGTAGTGTAGATGGTAATGCGAATTCGCTAAACTCGGGAGTTGATGGGTCTCTGCAAACAGGCAATGGTGAAGGGAGACAGTCAGTTGAGGGACGTAATGCCAATGGCGGAGCTAGAAGTTTGACAGGCAAAGTTGGAGTTGAACAGTCTGGACCTTCTGGTTCAAAGAGGGAGAAGGACTTTTGTGCAGAAAGAGAGGACCCTTCAGAGTTTATTACTCACAGAGCTAAAGATTTTCTTTCGAGCATAAAGGATATCGAGAACCGCTTTTTTAGAGCTGCAGAATCAGGAAAAGAGGTCTCCAGGATGCTTGAGTCAAACAAAATAAGGGTTGGGTATTCGGAGGCGAAAGGTAAACTTTTTTATGTTGGTTGAAGAATGTTTCATGTCTATTGATAATTTTAGTTGTCTGATTTTTTTTCTTCTTGTTCTTGCTTGATAAACTCTATGACTATTGAGTATTGTATTGTAGGCACATCATCTGCTTCGGCTTTTTTCGTGGCTTTCCAGCTCGTTTTCTGCCCTGGAAAGACTGTACTTGTTTCTCATGGTAAGTTGTTGCAATTGGTAAATCGCAACCTAATTACCAGTCCAGTAAGTAATTTAGGTTTTGGACATGGATACATCTTTAACAATTGCAAGAATTTCCTTATTCCTATACTGACTTATGTAACTTTGTAGGCTGAGGTCTTTTCCCTTGACTTGTCACTTTTTGGTTTTGTTGAATCCTAGTAATCCTTTGATCAGTCGAACGTCTTTTATGTTAAGACTAGAAGTTGTATCTCTGGCACAATGATCAGATAAACACAGTTCATCCATTTAATTTTGTGATATATGTATTCTGCGTGAAAGCATTCAAATTTGTTCTGTGGCATTTATTGTGGAATCAGCTGGCTCACTTTAGTTACACGCATCATTTGCATCACAAATGAAGCCGCACTCAACTGGGTACCACTCTTTCCCAGAATGATTAGAATCTCCCTTTCTGACCATAAGATCTGTGATCGTAATGTTTTGTAGATGCTGCTCAACATGGAACAAAAATTATTACTTGGAAGCGCTCAACATCTTCGAGGTCATCCTCATCAAGGAATCCTCTTGCCACAGCATCAAAAGATGATGCCGACGACAGTGGCAGTGATTTTATTGAAGAGTTTTGCATGATTGCCGGAAGTCATTCCTCCACTCTGGAGAGACTATATGCCTGGGAAAGAAAACTCTATGACGAAGTAAAGGTACTTTTGTTGAAGCCCTGCAGTATTTTTATTGTATAGATGCATGTTTTATTGTATCTATTGATTTCTATAATCTATTTTCGCATTCTTTTATACGAACTTTCTTGTGATCTGCTTACCCTGATTCAAGCATCAGATAATCTTCTTATGTGCCTTTAAATGCTCATGAATTTGATCTATAACCTCGTAGTTTAAAACCATGAATATAAACTGCAAGCTTCTAGTCATGGGGATATGGAGTAGGTATTGCGGGAAACATCAATTTGTAATTGTATTTTGTGAACCGTATTTCTCTCTAACATTAAATACAGGAGAAAAGATAGTGATAAAGTTTGTGTATTATGCTTTTTGTTTTATAGTGTTTTTGTTTAATCATCTCGTCATTTTTATTTTGGTTCTTGTAGGCAAGTGAATCTATCAGGAAGGTGTATGACCGGAAGTGTGATCAACTTAGGAATCAATTTGCAAAGGATTGTAGCAGTCAAGTTATTGATAAAACCCGGGCGATAGTGAAGGATCTACATTCACGAATAAGAGTGGCAATACATGCTGTTGATTCAATATCAAAGCGGATTGAGAAAATGAGAGATGAAGAATTGTATCCACAACTCTTGGAACTTACTCAGGGGTAAGTAGGATCACGTTGTTCTCGTAACTGAGACATTGAAAAAAAAAAACTCCAATAACCACAAGATTATCTTCCGACTCTTCAAATTCATATTATTTGTTTCAAAGCATCACTAACCTTGGATTGATGAATGGTGTTTTTGTGTAGATTGATGGGAATGTGGAAGGCCATGCTTGAATGCCATCATGCGCAATATATAACCATCTCACTGGCATATCATTCAAAGAGCTCAACACCTTCCCAAGGAGATTCCCGTAGGCAGATAATGGCTCAACTTTTGGATGAGATTGAATGTTTCGGCCTAAGCTTTGCAAATTGGATCAACAGCCATACGTCATATGTGGAAGCTCTCAATGGTTGGCTGCAAAACTGCATCATGCAACCACGGGAGCGTACCAAAAGCAGAAGGCCATTTTCCCCCCGTCGAGCTGTAGCCCCACCTATATTTGTTCTCTTTCGAGATTGGGCAGCTGGGATCAGAGCACTGCCTTCTAACGAACTTACTGATGCAATCAGAACCTTCTTATCAGATCTGCGTCATTTGATGGAAAAACAAGCAGTCACACAGAAAAACCAGGGGACAGCTGAATCAGCTGATGCAAACAACGGAGAAGCAGAGAACAAAGCAGAAAACAGTGAAGAATCATCTCCAAACTTGAGTTGCATGCATGCAAGCTTGGCAAGGGTTCTCGAGAGACTCACTAAATTTTCGGAGGCATCACTGAAGATGTATGAAGATATCAGATACAAAAGTGAAGTAGCTCGAATTGCATATCTCAACGGCAGGCCTGTTAGATACTGAGTTTATGTAATTATAAACATATAATAATCTCTTGAATTTGTGACCGGATACAGGTTTGTAAAGTTGAATTGTTGCAAATAGCTTTGGGGAGGAAAAAGTACCAAGTTTTTGGGCAGTGCGTTCAATTTTACAACTGAATTAGCACGAGTTTTCAGCCAATATTTAGTATGTTTTTCTCGGCGATTGGCTTTATTAGTATACCATCTAGTCTCTGATGATACTTCAATTTTTTTGGGGTCCCATTCTCTTGATCACTAGGTGACTTAAGAATCTCGATTCATGGTCGCCCAACCTTGAATTTTATGTCAAGGGGTGTGATTTAAACATTAAAGTACATTCACTCATACTTTACCCTTGATCTCAAATTCAAGAGAACATGAATTTCTCGGTCACTAGGTGATCAAGAGAACATTTTGTCGTTTTTGACCTCTTTATGGGGTATCAAGAACCACAGCCAAATCCAAAAGAACCCGAAAAAGGAAAAACTGTTGAGTGACTAAGGGTGAGTGACCATGCATCTCTTGCCAAAGTTATGGGAAATTGGGCTTACTAGCCATTTTACAAATACACCAACCAAAATTAGTCATGCTCTCAAAACGCAATCCCTATTAGCCCTCTTTGAAGAAAATAATCTCAAGTTTAAAATCTCTTACTAAAAAATTGTGTTCATAATGTATTAATAATCTATCAGTATTGTGTCGAAAATGTATTCATACTATGTCGTGTCGATAATATACTAACTTGAGAATATTTTCGCCAAAAAAGACTAGTAGAGAACGGATTTTGAGAGCAGAACTGGTTTTAATTTTTGATTGGTGGGTTTGCAAAAGGGCTACTTCGCAAGTTAATGAATTCACGATTTACAGGACATATTTTAGCACACAAACACGGCATAACATTTGTATCAAGAACGAATTGCCTTTTGAACAAGACATGCTGTTCAATAATTTTACAAAACTACTACATCATATACCCGCATTGTGAGAGCTATCATCCACTTTTTCCCTACCAACTCCCACCCTTCGATTTTTGTACAACAACAAAAAAACCTTATCCCACTAAGAAGGGTCAGCTATATGAATCAACGCCATTGCGCTCGGTTTTGTGTCTAAATACAATTTTTTTAAAGCAAATAATATTTTCGAAACTTAAAGTAAGAAAAACATGAACTCCCTTTCCTGCTTTATTTTTCTTAAAAAGGAACAAGATCGGTGGGAATTAAAATCCGACATAGTGTGTGTAGTGTGAGTAGGCATCTGACTGCATTGCAATCGGGGCTCTTGTAACATAATCTGGAATGTCAAATGTGTCTACAAGTTCCCTTGCAATATTTCTCACCTGAAAACTCAGGTACTCCATCAGTTTGTGAATTGCCTGCACAAACAGAAACGAGAATTCAGTCGAATTTGAATTTTTACGGCATTTCCTCAAAGCCATGCAGGATGGATTCAATGTTACTACTATCGTATTCGGGCTTAAATACGTTTTCCATAATCCTGCGTCAAAGTGATAGCATAAACCGTAGAATTACAGGAAATATTTCTTCTTTTCATGCTTCATAGGAATACCTTAGCTTTGTTTGGTGCGACATAATCAACATTACGATAGGTTCCTATGTCTTTCCAAATGCGCTCCAAGGCATAAAGATCACAGACGAGTTTCAGAGCAGCTCGAGAACTTGGATCCGGACACCTGGCAAATAAATACCCCATTTTAGAAACTCAAAATCATAATGGAAAGAAATGAATGAAAGTAACAGAGATCTAAGAATTACTTCTGGACAGCTTCAACAAACTTGGCAAGGATGACAGACTCAATGTGGGACTCTGCAAGAGTCAAAAGGTGATTTAAGCATCGATTCCATGCACCAAAACTGCCAAGAGTTTTGGAATGCTTGCGCAGTCTTACAGCGACACTTTGAAGTAATCGAGAAGTTCGGTACTGCCAGAGGAAAATTATGCGACAAGAGTTTCAGTTTTGTTATATACACTAAGACAGGATTTTGATCATAAAACCAAGTAAAAACTCACTCTGAAAGCATCCAACTGGAACTTAGGATCTCGCAAATGGTCTTCACTGTCCCATCGAGCAGTCACTGGATTTGGCTGAGACAGATATGAGTTCATGGACTCTCTGAGGTAGCTCCATGTGACTGTGAGTGTTCCGCCTTGAAATTTCTCCTTATATTGCTTCAACAGATCACCAGCAACCTGCGTCACCAGTGAAAACTAGTGTGTAATTGCTTATGGCAAATGTATTTCATCTCTTGTTCTAACACTTCATGCTCAAATGGTTTGGGCACCCAATATGTTCTATCCTATAAAAATTCCAGATCATAAAATAAAATAGAAAATTCCAAGCGAGGGCGTAGAGAATGTGATTTGTTCAGAACCTGTTGTAGGAGCACTGTATTGTCCCCTTCAAACGTCTGAAAAATGTCATGGTCATTCCTCAAGCTACCAAAGCGGTTGACAGAAGCATACCCATGGCCTCCACAAGCTTCCCTGCAGATACTCAATGACTTTGCTGTATATGCCGTCACATAAGCCTTGAGCCCTGCTGAAAGGGAATGGATGTCACCAACCAATTGTTCATCATGAGACTTTTTCATCTCTGAATATTTCTCCACCAAATGCGACGTGGCAAAATGGAATGCATAAGTTGAAGCCAGCATTGGCATTAACTTGTGTTGTTGGGACTGATAATCAAGAATACTGACTTCAGGTTGCTTGGAAGGACCAAACTGCTGTCGCAGTAGAGAGTATCGGATTGCAATTGTGGCAGCGACCTTAAGGACACTAACTGAAGAATATGCAAGACCAACCCTCCCACCTACAAGTTCCCCTAGAGTGGCAGCAAATCTTTTATTTATAGATGGTAAGCTACTTGTGTATTTCCCATCCCGGGAGACATCTCCGAATCGATTAAGAAGATTATCACGAGGGATTCTCACTGACCGGAATCTTAATGCTCCATTGTCTACCCCATTCAGACCCACCTTGTGGCCACAATCCTGTATCTCAATCCCTGGAAGAGTTTGGTGGGTCTTCAAATCCCTTATTGGCACAATGAAGGCATGGACACCCATATCAGTAATACCTTTTGTGTCATGAGTCGGCAACATCAGCTTAGCAAAAACAGTAGCAAACTTTCCATGAACGGCAGCGTTGCCAATCCACCATTTGATCGCCCCATCATTGGGTGTGTCGATTATAAATTCATCTGTGATTGGATCAAAAGTTGCCACTGTTTGTAGACCTTGAACATTTGAGCCTTAGGCACAGAAAACGGAATAATTAAAACAGTTAAGATATGAATTCTAGATTTAGTAATACACAGCAGTACCTGAGAAATAAAAAGCATAAAATGAAAAACAACAAAGAAAATCTGAATCAAAAGATGATAGAGAATCACAATGAACCAGTCTCTTCTTAAAAAAGTTAAAGGGTGGTGGTATCCACCAATGTTATAAAATGCGATGGCGAAGCCAAGGCGTTTGATGGATAGCCCCACCTAGTCAAATGCCTTGAGGCGTAAGGCACCTCCTCATGGGACCTAAAATTATTAATATATACATATATTAATATTATATATATATATATATATAATCTAATCAACAACAGAGTCAAAATCAAACATTATAGAGGAAAAAACAACAATCAATAAAAAAATTTCTTCACTGCAGGTGAGAAACCTTAACCTTAAATGAAAAAAGCCCCAGCTAATGCCTCGACCACAACTAGGCAAGTTTAAGCTTACTCCCGCTGGGCAGAGGCATTTTCTTCACTGCACCGCCTAGGCACGCCTCAAGGCTCATTTTTACAACTCTGGACACCCCTTTTTACCTTTCACACACACCTCTCAATTTTCGGCCATCGGATTGAATGAATTGAAGAGGATCAAGGGGCAAAAATTTACAGGGGGTGCGTGGGAGGTAAAAAAAGGTTGTGTGGGTAGCACCAGTGCACCACCCAAATTAAAATGGATAACTATCACCAATAAATCAAAGATTCAAAAGTGGATGGGCGTTCGTTGTTATAAATATTTCAGCACCCTGTCTATATCGACTCTGACACTCCAAACAAAGTAACTAACAAGTTACCAAGATAAATCTTGGAAAACTATCTTCATAATCATGCCTAATAAAAGTTTCTCATTGGATGGCTTATTGAACATGATTCGACCTTCTCATGATAATACTATTAATTAAGAATTACAATCTGTGGTTTCACGAAAATAAAATTTGTAAAAAGTACTTGCTTTTAAATGTCTATATATATGTGTGTGGGGCACACCAACCATTCCACAAAATCACACAATGAATGTATGGATAAACTTATAATGTCCCAGCATTAAGCATCGCTGTAATATCAGCTTAGGCAAAAGCAAGGAAACAAGTAAAAGAATGGGAGTAGCAGAACAGCTCACCATGATGCAGTTCGGTCATAGCAAAACAACCTGGATACTCCAGATTGTCGATACCATCAAAATACATATCCTTGTGCTTTTTAGTTCCTAAGTTAAGTACAGAACCTCCCCAAAGGCTGCACAAGTAATAAAAAAATCAGTGCACGACAAGATACATGATGTAAAGCTAGTGCAATTAGGCATCATGCTACGTTTCAGGCACACAAGCACTGGAGAAAAGAGGCCCCATAACAAGTCTTTGTCAATTTAAGAGCCATGTAATTACATCATTTGAATCCAAAGCACCAAATATCAGCAATAAAGCATGTGATATTTGAACAATGACGAACTCTGCAGGCCTTCCACTTTAATGGAACTTTCTGCCTTTCAAAATCCATTGCAGTTCTCGTATTCAAAGCCAAAATTATAATAGAATTTCTACCTTTCAATTTTTCTGTAACCTTCCCCATCTCAGAACGTTAAAATTGCAAAACAGAACATGGATTGTATAACAAGTTTCTCATCACATGAAAATTATATTAATTGCCCCTTGTTCAAGATCTTTCTGTATGGTTTCAAATTGTTCATAAAATTTTCTTTTTCTGTTATATTCCCAATCTTGACGCAGTCCACCTTAAGCCCGTTCTATTAACTTATATTTTAAACGCCCTCCCTCAGAAAGGGCATCCAACATGTGAACTATATGTA